GCATTTACAGTGTGTGTTCCTGCCTGGCGCTCATGGGAACGGCTGCAGCAACCAATGGAGGTAACTGGTACGTGTGGGACAGTCAGGGGGGTGTAACAGTGAGAGGAGGAGAAATCCATTGGATTCCTCCCTCTGCCAGGCAAGAGTATAATCCTGATATAGAGAGATACTGTGTTTTGTCTGAATCAGAAGGTCTGGGCTGAATGCTCCCTTTTAAAATTCATTGACGTTTGCATGGAAACCAGAAAAATGGGCTTAAGTCAAGAATGCAATAACCTCACTCAGAACTGCTCTCCATGGCAGGCACTCATCCGCTTACAGCCATTCTGCTCGCGGGGAGATAAATGGAGGAGTAAAATACTGTGTATGGCTGCATCGCCTGCGTATTTATAACACAGCGGTTGATGTACAACAGCTTTTCCGTGCACGTTTCTCCCCCTCCCTCCACAATAACTTGCAGCCAGACATTGATTAGTTCAGTTTGGGGGGAAAAAGAGTCGTGCAGGACAACTGGATACTTCAGCAAAGGGATTCCTGAAACGTGTCCAAGGGAGAACTGAGTGGTCACGTGGCACTGGCTCCGTGCCTGCTTCCAGCTGCCGAGTTTCATTAGAAGACAGCCAAAATACATTAATTAGTTTTCTAACATAACTTTCCTGTGCAGGCAGTGCTATGGCTTTCACAGCCGTGCACGGGGGCAGAGGAGATAGTCTGTGCAATGTGTGAATGATGGCCATGATGTAACTGCTGTGTCAAGATGTGTCCCCTTCCTGAGGCTCCCAATTGCCTACCTTGGTGGTGGGATCATGCTGGAGGGACAGGGGCAGGGAAGGCAGCCTGGTCTAGTTTTGGGCTTTCCCCGAGTTCAATGTGGCTCCAGACCTAGAGCTCTTTCCAAACTGTTTTCTATAGAAGGTTGTAGCGAGGTGAGGACGCGTCTTGTCTTCCAAGTAACAAGGAATAGAACAAGAGAAAACTGCCACAAGTTGTGCCAGAGAAGGTTTATTTTGGATATTAGGAAAAAATTCTTCACCAAAAGAGCTGTCAAGCATTGAGTCAGGCTGCCCAGGGAAGTGGAGGAGTCACATGTTAAAAGACATGTAGATGTGGCACTTGGGGACATGGGTTAGTGGTGGCCTTGGCAGTGCTGGGGGAATGGTTGGACTTGGTGGTCTGAGAGATCTTTTCCAACCTGAATAATTCTGTGATTTCTTCCTCTATGATTTTAACTCTATATGAAGTTTCCTCTGACAGATCTTCCCAACAATGATTTCAGACAAATACCCCAAAATGGCTACATTTGTGTTCTTATCTCTAGGACAGTCAGAAGAGATACCCACAAAAGGACCAGGGTAATCTCTGCTCCTGTTGCAAAACTACTTGTAATAACTCTGCAGAAATTCAAGGAAAAAGTTGTGCTCAGTCTAATCATGAGTTTACTTTTTCTCCGGATGCTTTCTGAGCTCTCAGGCACTTAATGGAAACACCAGTGCTCACACTTGGAGGGCAGGCTGGAAAGTTTGCGTGGGCTTGTGTGTGTGCCAGGGAGTCAATTTTTGTCCGTCAGAAGCCTCTTTCCATTATGCTTTTGTCAGACTTTGCCTCTGTAAAGGGGAATTCAGGCTTTCCATGTCAAAGCCCTCTGCAAATGTTACCCAAGACCTCTTGTCAGTGCTGTATTTTGTACCAGGAACACCTACCAGTGCTACCAGGAGCAGGGAGGGCAGGACTAACATCCTGCCCTTTGAGAGAAATGACTGATATTTGGGATTTTTCATTCTTTCCTCCCTTGGCGTTCACCATTTCGGATGCAGGCTCATGCTCCTGCTCTCTTTAACAGCCTGTTTTTCCTCTAACCGCTTCCAGCTCCAAAACCTCTCTACATCTTCTCAATGTAAATACACTTTAGCTTGCCCAGCACAGGCTGTGGAGACAGTAGTGACCTTCAGATGAGTGCAAAGCATTTCAATTTGACCTACTTTGCTGCAAAATGGGTTTGGCCATGGCAGGGCAGCTCTCTCTTCCTTCCTCTCCTCTTGGTGAAGGTCCTTGGGAAGCCCCGGGCACAACATGGAGGAGATGCCCCTTGTGAATGGGGGAGCGGGGCTTAAGGAGGATAAAAACCTCAGGGCTTGAGTTTTGGGTGCTGTTTGGGTAGCCTGATACAGACAGGCTGAGTGCTGGGTTTCCCTGTAGTGCCAGGTTTTATATTTGCAGCTTTCGTTTTTTGAATGTGCCTTTAAAAAAATCTACCGTAACACAAAATGTCCTTCACTGAATACTCCTTTTTCCTTTACTACCTAAATTTTTTCTCTTTGGTTGCTTTCCTCAAGGATGCTTGTGGGAAGGGAGCAGCTGCAGGAGGAACCAGGCTACCATGGTGCTTCCCAAGGCTACTTGGCTGCACCAAGAAGAACCCTGGTGGTTTTGTCAGATTTCCCTTGTCTTCTGTAAGATCTTCAGGGCAGTGCAGGTACTGCTTTGCTTGGGTGTTGATAAAAAGGGGCTGGCCTTTCTTCTGGACATCTCAAGAAGACAATCCTAAATGTAGAGGGGTTGTAATGCCCCAAATCTCCTTATTTGACTTCGTGTGTATATATATATATATATCTATGTATATATCATCTCTATATATATGTGTATGTATATATATATATGTATATGTATATATATATATATATATAGAATAACAGCCTTCCAGTACCTAAAGGCTCCAGGAGAGCTGAACTTCGGACAAGGGCCTGGAGTGACAGGACAAGGGGGGAATAGCTTTCAACTGAAAAAGGGCAGGTTTAGATTAGATATTAGGAAGAATTTCTTCCCTGTGAGAGTGGTGAGGCCCTGGCACAGGTTGCCCAGAGAAGCTGTGGCTGCCCCATCCTTGGAAGTGTTCAAGGCCAAGTTTGGGGCTTGGAGCAACCTGGTCTAGTGGAAGGTGTCCCTGCCTATGGCAGGGGGCTGAAACTAGGTGATCTTTAAGGTTCCTTCCAACTCAAGCCATTCTGTGTTTTCATGATTCTAAGAGTGTATTAAATGGGAATAATTTAATAAATATACACTAGAATTGCTTAGGCCTTTACATTTTGCTATTTTCTGCAGTACTTGTTTCTCAGGAGCACTGTGGGGTGACCTCTCTGGAAGTACAATTGTCTTTTGTTTGGGTACATGTGTCTTTAAAATAAAGTTCTCTCCTTATCTCAAGTTTAAAGTGCAAAATTCCCAGGTTGGAAGCAAGTTAAAATTTCCTATTCCAGCTGCATCTGCATTCAGTCTCAGGAGAAGATACTTGGCTATAATTTGAAAAAAAGAATAGAAATTGATATTGCAGGTAAAAAGGAGCAACTGAGGAAAAATATCCTTTCAAAAGACCCTCAAGAAATTTTCAGGATAATTTTCAGTTATTTCTGAATAATTCATACCACTGGTCAACCACTAAAAATTACAAAACTGACCCCAAACCCACGTCCCTGCTGATAAAAGCCATGGACTTGCTTGTAGCTTATCTAATGCCTGAACATCTGTTTCTCCCTTGCCGAGAGGTTCTCTTGGATGAGTTAATGCAATTCCCTATGCAAAGGTTAAATAAAGTTGAGAGGCTCCAACTGGTGGCGTTGTGCCATGAAGGCCTGTGCTGCAAAACCAACTTTGCCATGGAAATGTCCAATTTTAGTTCAGAGAGACACTCAGGAGGGGAAAAAAGTCACCCAGCCTAAGCCTGGGCTGCAGTGAGGCTGGATTCAATGACCTTAGAGGGCTTTTCCTACCCTGATGATTCTGTGAGTCTGAGCTTTCTATATATTCCAGAATGGAAGGGGGGCTTTGGAACATGCACTTTCCCTGGGTCTGAAGAGCTGGTGCTGAGCTCTGCAGCCACTTCCTTCTGCTCGGGCAGCATCATTGTCTTCCAATGGGATGGGCTTGGAAGCCAAATGCCTGTTCTTGGTGATTGTGTAGTATGTGTGCACAGGATTATTTAATACTTTTTTGATTATTTAACAACATTTGGCATGTTTGACAGCAGAGCCTTTTATGACTGGAACAGCTGGAGGTGGGAAAGGCTGCTGGGTGATTCCAGCACCGAGTCCTGGAGCTGCTGGGCTGATCCCTGGGTGTTGGGTGGCAGAGATGTTCCACGTGACATGGACGTGGCTGTTCCCGTGGGGATATCACACGTGTGTGTGTAACTGTCATGTATCTGTAACCTTGCAGTGAGATCAGGATGGCCTTTGGGATGAAGGATTCCAAGCCAGCTACCCCTCTCCTTCATTCCCATCACTTCCCCCTTGAGTTTGCCAGCACACAGTGACCTCAGAGGAGCACAATGGGTGTAACCACACCAGGTCCCTGTAGCCCAGAAGCCAGCATGGGGTTGTACCTCTGTCCATGAGCTGTTACAGAACGCTGTGTCCACACTTTCACTTTTCTGCCCTTTCCTTTCCATCTCGGCTTTCGGCTCCTCTGGCTCCACATCCTGCAGGGCCACACTTCACACGCGGCAGCAGGAGCATCAAAGAGGAGATCCTGAATAAACCCACTGCTTTATGACATCTCTTCAAAGTGCCTTTTTAAAAGTTCAAAGGACACGAGGGAAGGAGGGGATCAAAATCAAAGGAAGATGGGGGGGAGGGAAATTAAAGCCTCAGAGGAACTTTATGGCACGTTTTCTGTAACACTTTCAATGCCAAATTCACAAGTGTTCCCAGCACCAGTTCTTCTCTTGCCATCAGACTCCCTGATGCAGCAGTTTCAGAGCAGCTCAGTACAGGGCACCCACAATGTCACTATTTCATTCATTTTTTTGTAAGACCAAAACTTCCTGTTCTGCTGCCTCCAGGACGAGGGAGAGATCCTTGTTCTGTACCAGCTGGAAGTCCTGGAGCTGACAGCAGAGTTCACCTTTAATGAAAAGCTTTTTCTTTTTTTCCCCAGGAATGCATCTCACTCTCCTCTCTTTCTGTCTTCTACTGCAGGGCCATTATTTTGTACGTGTTTGGGAAATTTCCATTACTGTTCCGGAAAAGGGACTTCTCCCAAGTGAGGGGGATCTGACTTGAAGCAAGAAAAGAGAAGCAAAACCTCTGTGTCAACACCCCAGAGACCATCTAGAGACTCAGCTTTACTTATGAAGACAGGAAAGAAATGCAAATAATTGAGGTATATGCTTCTTAATATTCAGTTAGCTCTCATAATTTTGTCATTTTCTGCTTCTCTGTGTCTGTTTTTAAACATATTAGGAAAAAAGTGATATACGAACCAATAGAAAAAAATCAGGCTGGTTTTGACCCAGGATCAAACCCTCTTTGCTGCTGGGCACGTGCCCACTGAGCTGGAACCACGTCCCTGCTGTGGGGAGCAGAGTGGGGCAGGGCAGGGCTGAAGCTGGAAAGGGCAGGGATGTACATTGCTAAATGGCTTTACCAGTTTGTGTTACAAGTTTGGGAACTTTCAGGCTTGTGTATTTAAATGGAAAGACTGAGAAGACATTTGTCTCAGAAATATCTGAGAAAAAAAAATGGGTCTTTGTGGAAGGATAGAAGGCTGCTGCTCAAAGGAGCTGTGGAGAGTTTCCTCAGCATTCCGTGAGCTGTGGAGGAGCAGCCTGTGGATTTGGTTTGGTGCTCACCATGTTTACAACCATCAGCCAGCAAATGCAATTCCTCCATAGGAGTGATTGTTTCCTCATCCCATTGCTTTTCCAGAGTCCATGGAGCCAACATGTGTGTGTTCCTGCAGCAACACTCAGTCCTCATCCTGCCCAGGTAAGCTCACCTACAGAAAGTGCTTTTCCCACAGGTGCTTTCCAGGGCTGCTGCTTGGAGAATGACAGAAAACTGTTGCTGAATTCCCTTCTCATTAATTCATTCTCTTGTTTTTAATATACTGAACTGCACACCTTGCCCTGTGTGCTCTGCCTTAGGCAGGCATCCAAAAATAGTCCACAGTGGTGCATATATGGGAGATAGAACTCTGTGTGTGCTGTGCTGTGTGGGTGGTGGTCTGGAGGACAACTACTGCCAAGAAAACAAATTAATTTGCTTGTTTTTCACTCAGAGAGGTCCCAGTTTCACTAAATAGCACTGAAAAGGACACCTCAAGGTGAAATTCAGTAAGTGTTTAATATATGTCTGCAAGAAGATAGTTTTATTCATTGGTAAGGGGGAATTTAAGGCATGTGGAGTAACTAATCAGATTGAGACTTGCCTTGGAGACTGTAGCTGGGACCTGTAAGGTTTGTTTACAAGAGGGGATTTGCATCGAAGCGAGACCCTTTAATATAAGCTCTTTATATTAATTGGTTTGAAGCAGGTCTGTCTCAATGAACAGATGGCTTTATTTCCCTCGCGGTCCTCCAGGCCACGTGGGGGGATTTCCTTTCCAAACACGCCGTCAGCAGTGGGGACAGGCACACAAAGTCACATCTTGTGCTGTGCCAGGGCTGGGGCACGGTGGGACCGTCCTGGCAGTGCCTGGTGGGCAGCGCGGGGGAAGGAGCCCTGTGGGCTTACCAACCCCATGGCTGCTCTCTCAGCATCCCATAATAGCACGATTGTTAAAGGATGTGGCAGTGTTTAGGAGGTTATTAATGGCTTCCCACGGGAACTGGGAGCCTGGTGATTTCCACCCATCCACCTCACCCAGGGTCCAGAAATAGAAAGGGGCTTTTTTGTGTTCCCCCACGTCTTGCTCAGCCACAGCTCCAGCAGCGGTGACACAGGCTGCTGTGGGAATGCTCCTGGTGCTTGGATGTTGTTCCCGCTGGGGGGAAGAGCAGTGAGTCAGCAGAGCTAAAGACGTCTATGGGTGATGTCAGTGCTTCCTCCTGGCTCTGGGACACGCAGTTCCTCTCTGCTGTCACTGCTGGTGATACCTTACATGGGGCATTTGGGTTGTAGGGCAGAGCTCTCGGAGCAGTAGCCCTTGGAGCATCTCCATGGCCTCCTCTGGACTTGCTCCAGCAGGTCCACATCCTTCCTGTGCTGAGGGCCCCAGAGCTGGACGCAGTGCTCCTGGTGGGGTCTCACAAGAGTAGAATAGAGAGAGGAATCACCTCCCTAGACCTCCTGTCCACCCTTCTTTTGATGCAGCCTAGGACATGGTTAGCTTTCAAGTGACAAAGGCTTTGGTGCTCAATGGCAGCTCAGAGGGGCTTTCACAAAACCGGAGGGTTGATGAGATGTTAATTGGATAGACTCAGAGTGCTCCCTGTTGCAGGTGGGCTGCAGCATGGCCTCGGTCCCAGATCTGTGCCGAGTCTATTTTATTATTGTGAGTGTTGCTACGAGATGATTCCCCCTGGAAGTTTCCAGACATACACAGATGTGAACGGGTGTAGCAGGGAGGAAGGCTCCCTGAAACCCAAATGGCAAATGAAAATCTGTTTGGGAGTCCTCAGTCAGTTACACAGGCACTCACAAAAAGTCAATGCTGGACACAGGGTATGGCCATTTCCCAGGAAGATCCAGCACTGCCTCCTGTTTGAAATGTCCTTTCCTAATGAAACTGGTTTTCTGTTCTTTTCTTAGGTTGCAAATGGTTATGCAAATTTTTAAATATTTTCCTACTTCCCTTTTCGGATGTCTAACATTATGTATTATTTTCTGATACTTACCTAACCTGGGAAATCTGTTTTCCATCTCATTTCAGCCAAGGTTTTCTTTTTAACCAGTCCTTCCCAGTATTTTCCTATAACACTTCTGGTTCGCTGAGTGAACTTTGCAGTGTGAGGGTAAATGAAAGTGAAAATGTATTGCTTGTCACACACTGGCTGTTTAGAGAGGGTTTGGGGTTTTTTTCCCCTCTGGATTCGAAGAGGGAGATATAAATCATTGATTTAAAACCAGGGTAATTTAACAAGATTATAGGAGAGGGAAAATCCACTTCCTACCCAAAGTAACAGTCTCTTAGGTCTCTCCACCTACACAAGCCATATGCATCCTCCAAGCCGCCCGAGATCCTCTTTTGTGTTTTTCTGGCAGGACTGTGGTATAATAATTAAAGTCCATATGCAAAGCTTTCTCGGTGGGACTTTTAATTACTTTGTAATTGGTCAGAGTGTTACCATTCATCAGCCCCCAGCCTGCTCTGCTGGGTTTGGAAAGTCCCAGACATGGAGGGATATTAAAAGCTCAGAAACCCAGGTCGGAGGGATGTGATCAGGGATTGCCTTTTCATGCCATCTCCTTTTTTAACAAACATGACTGTGCTTTTCTTTGCCAGGAGCAAAGCTCTGGGATGGGGAGAGTAGTGGGATTTGTGCTGCAGTGGTGTGTGTGGGATGCTGTATCTGGAGGGTTCCACACCGGTGCAGAGGGGTGGAGAGGGGACTGGCAAAGGGAGTGCTGATCCCTGGCTCGAATTGCTGGTTTTCAGTTGCGGGGAGCCTTTACCATGACCCCTGGGTAGAGCATGGCATAACAAAGCTCCTCACTAGGAGCACTGGAATGCCAAAACTTCAGGCATCGTTTGGTCTTGGTCACATCATCCAAGTTTATTTGGCCCTTGCCACGATGGTCCCCCTTCTCCCAAGGGATGGTGGCTCCCAGATTACACAGCACAGGGGGCAGAGGCTGTGTATGTGCAGGTTGGTGTTTCTGGAGGCCAAATACTGAGTGTCCTAGAAGCAGGTACAGCAAGAGTTGTCAGCAGCTCTGCTACACCTGAGCAGAGGCACTGTCAAACGAGACACCGTCAAACTAATACATATCCCGTTCCTGTTATTCCCATTCTTGTTGGGAGTCAGGACTCTCACGGCGCAGGGACTGGAGTCAACTGATATTTTTAATAGTTGTAGCAACCCACCCATAATCCTTTGATTCTGGGATCTGGAACTCAAAGCCCAGCTTTTGTAAAATAAACATGGGCGTCACTTTGGTTTGTCAGTTCAGCAGGAACATGTCACAGAAAGAGGTGTCTTGGAGCCTGCCTAACTCCGACTGGCAGGACAGGCTTCCAGCAATGAATTTTCAATGAAACATTTTTCTAATTATAGCAAATTATTTTTACAAACATTTTCCTGGGAAGAGAGTCTGAAACTAGGGCCAAAAAGGAGAAGGCTGGGATTTAGGCAATGCCTGACAAAAAAAAAACCAAACCAAAACGGACTGTATGGTAGTTGTCTTTTATTATTAGGCCAACCTATAAACTTCAAATGAATGGATTCTAGTGAACTTCATTCCAGTATGACCAGTTTGTGTTGTTGAAAAATTGGAACGGTTTAGAATGGTGCCATCAAATCCAGCTCTTGCCCTCCCTCTCCCTGTATGGCCTCAGGACTCCCCAGCTGCAGGGCAGAGAAGTGATGGGCAGAGGTGACAACTGGTCATCAGCAACGCTGGTACAGCCTGAGGAGAACTTCACGTCCAAATGCCCCAGATGCAAATTATTTCATATTTATTCTCCTCTCCAGATGTTGCAGCAGACTTGTATTCTTTTTCCAGAGCAGAGCCACCTCTTCCAGTCACAAACGCGCTTGATTTTGGGGTAAATGAATGAGTAATCTTAAGTTATCACTAAGAGAAGTGTGTATCTCTGGATGTCCCATGCCCTACAACTGTGAAGGCAGTGCATGTTCATGGTGATGGAGATGGTTTGGCTGTGGGCAGGCTCAGTGTTGCCTGCTTTCTTTTCCAGGAGAGATTCCCACTGGAAGTGCAGGGGCTGGTGGTACTGTGCTGTTTGTGGGCTTGCCTATCATCCCACAGTTCTTGTGCTCAGCTGGGGAATCTAATTAGAAGTTAACCATGGAAAACTCCATAATACTTACATAGAGGTGGTGTGGGCTGTGTGTAATCAAGGGATAATCTTAATGCAAACCTGAATATAGGTTATTTTTCATCAGGAAGGAGTTAGTTGATTATTTCTAAAACAAAAAAAAAAAAAAGAAAAAAAAAGCCACCCCCAGCCAAAACCCTAACCACAAACCTCACAGAGTATTTTGAGTCACTAAACCTGGGCAGCTCCACAGCGGCGTGGGAAGACATGACTTGGTGGATGGTCCTGGTTGAGGGCTGTGCTGGGGTTTGCAGCGTGGGCTATCAGCACCCCAAGAGCCAAGATGGGCTCAGGGAGCCTAGGAGTAACACAGGTGATGGATATTTTATGGCATGTGCTTATTTGTTTGATGAAGAATTTGAGATAAAGCTGTTGCAGGTGGTAGAAACTCATCTAGAAGCCCACCATGGGCATGGACTCTGGCGAACCCCGTGGCATCTCGCTGGGATGGCTCTTATTAAAGCACCTAAGGGTTAAAGATGGACGGTTCCCTCCCCCCCCCCAGTAAAGGTAATTACCCACCATCTATTTAGCAGGGAAAGAATTTGCCATTGAGCAGATAGGGCCAGGCTTCACCAGAGCCCTTCAGCCGCCCAACAATATCGCATTACCCCGATTGCATAAAGAGCGCGAGCCATTTCCGCTGGCGGGGCCATAATGGAGGTATCTCTTTACAAAGCCCCCACTTCAGGCCAGCTGAATGCCTCCGCCGAGCCTCCGAAATCCCGCAGCCCTAATCCCTTTAGCAACAAAGATCTGTTTCTTTGCTTAGCATGAAGTAGACCTCAGAGGCCGGTGTGTGCCTTGGCCTGTAGGCCAAAAGCCTCCTGTTTACAATTTCCCTATTCCTGTTTTTAATGTTGTTCTGAGAGCAGCCACAAAGGGCCGGTTTTGTCCAGCAGGAACAAGGGAGCTATTAGAGAGGGACGGAGGAAGGAAGGAAGGGAGATCCAAAAGGAGCAGCCCAGGAGGGATTAGCATACACAGCTGTTCCCTCAGGGACAGGAGCTTTATGCTTTTTATAATTTCCCTCTCATTTACATTTTTTAATATCTGGTTTCCTTGTTTCCAGTCCCCCTTCCCCCCATGTCTCCAGGACCATCTGCCCATTTTATTGGATTTTTTGTTTTGTTTTTCAGGCGGGTGCATCCAGCCCAGTGTGTTCACTGGCTCCAGTTTAAATCCTGCAATCCCTATCAACTGCGGTTTCGCTCACGTTAAGCCCTCTCCCTTGCCTTGCCCATCTTATCCCGTGACCCTCCATCCAGCCCCATCACCTCTCCCTGGCGTGGTGGGAAGGCAACACTGAGCATCCCTGGGTTGGGATGCCCAAGGCAGAGGGTTTTCATCCCTGAATGCACATTGTTCTTGGCTCTGCCAAGACCAGAGGGGAGAATGGTTGAGCTGTTTACAATATTGTTTCATAGACTGCTCAAAAGCAATGTCTGTTTTCCAGAAGTGCAATGAAACATTTATGAGTATGGGACATCGTGCAGCTCCGGAGCTCTGCAGGGGACGAGGGACAGTTGCTTCTTTTATGTGCACCACATCCCAGCTTATGTGGGCTGTTGGCAAAGGAATTAGCAGGACACGTCTATCTCATTTTCATTTCCCTCTTCCACAGTGGTGATCCCTCAGGTACCCCAGTTTGTGAGGGTGACTGGAACCAGAACCCAGCTCCGGGATGTGCAGGGCAGGAGCTGGGTGAGGCGCTGCACTGTGCTGTTCTCCAGATTTGCTTGGCTGAGACTTTCTCTCTCATGAGCTCTTTCTCTATTTCTATAAGGTACATGAAGCCTGGTAAAGCTATGGAGCTACAAAAATCCTGTCTCTTCCCATGCATCCCTCAGGATGAGATGAAATGGCCTCAAGTTGCACCATAAGGTTTAGATTGGACATTAGGAAAAATTTTGTCATGCAAGGGTTTGTCAAGCATTGGAACAGGCTGTCCAGAGACGTGGTGGAGTCACCATCCCTAGAAGTACTCAAAAAACATGGGGTAGTGGTACTTGAGGACATCGTGTGCATGGTGGTGGTACTGATGGTTGGGCTTGATGGTTGGGCTTGATTGTACAGGTCTTTTCCAGACTTAATTATTCCATGATTCTATATGATTCTGTGATTTATGCCAGTGAAGAAAGAGGCGAAGCTGAATTCTAGGATTCTATACCTATGCCAATTCACATTAGCCATCTTAAATATGGACATTTATTAAAAAGAAATGAATAGCACAGCAGGTTTTTCCTTCAGTGCAGAGGAGCGGTTGTGTATCTGCCTCAGCGCTTGTACAGCTCCATTTTGGTTATTTCCAGTGCCCCAGCCTATTTCTCGTGTGGAAGTTACAGCAGGTCCTTCCAAATAATGACATGTTCTTTTCCCAACACAGGACAGCTCCAAGGCCCCTTAAGGTAGTTAAAAATATATATTTTAGGCAAATGGACACTCTAACCAGAATTGTACCCTGACTGTAGCTAAATGTGGGGATAAATCAGAATTTGAGTTTTACTGTGACATCTATGAATGTTTCACTGTATCTCCAGCATAAGGGATCCCATTGTATGTATCAAGGATGTCTCAGCTTTTACATGGTCTCAGCTACATTTCTCAGGATTTAATATTTGAGGTTCCTTCTAGGGACGTATGAAAGGAAAAGCTGGATTTGAACTCCATTCAGAAAGCTTTCACATATTCAGAATTACTTAGTGCTCATAGAAGTAATTTGGTTCTGTGGAAGATGTTTAATGAATCTCCTGGCAATGGGGTGTTTTGTCCCGTTGAGCAGGAGCCTGGGCTGTGAATGGGACCCGAGCAGCAGAGCAGGGCTGTGGTTTAACATCCTCCCGACTCACCCGGGGACGTCCAGCCTAAACCCTTCCTTCCTGCCCAAAGTGGAATTATCATTAACTTGTAACTAGTTTTCAAGAAGAACATTTTTTTTTGGTAGGCTGTGGAGTTCTTCCAAGAATTTTTCAATTTTTACAAATGAAAATATAGGCTCAGCCAGATGCCAACTAAAATGCAGTTACTTTATACCAGCCAGCCCAGGCACTGCACCACAGGCTCAGCAGCACGACCTTTAAAACAGCCTTTTTAGAACAAGCTGGGAGAACACTTTCTAAAAAGCCACAATTGCAGCTGCTCTCATTACTTATAATATCCTTGATGGAGAGGAACTTAAAAATAATTCTTAAGGAACTTAAGCTTCAACAACCCCCAGTAGACTTAGTTTATGTGCAGTGCAGGCTTCCTTCGTGGGATTATAGGCTCGGGACGGTGATTATAGTGTTGATGATAATGTACATTTTCTAAATCATTACTTGCTTAAGAATAAAATAAAAGGAGTGAAGCCTTTGCTTCACTTTTCTCATGCAGATGAATGGATCAGGGATTTAGCCACTTGTTTCTAAAAGCAGACGCACATTTCCATGTTCCCTCCACATATTTATTAAACTAAGAAGTTTAATGTATATGTAAAACGCATTTGGACACTGTATTTCAAATCAATAGAATAATCTGAGTCATCAGCTCTGTAGATGAATAATTACATATTACTTCCTGGGATTTTTTTAATATTCTTATTTATAATAAGCTACTCTTTAATTAAAACTGGCGTTTGGGATCCAATTTCTTTAGGGTTTTGTGTATGGAAATCTGTGCCCTAATTTTTATATATTCATTAATATCTTGCAGCTTTCCTGATTCCACACCCATCCTCTGCTCCAAAGCTGGTTTGAGGGTACAGATCAGGATTGTGGCCCTGCTGAACTCAGGAGATCAAACCAACATTAAATCTAATTTATTTTAGTAGAACCAGTGAACATTTTGCACCAACACTGTCAGGACACTTTAGTCTTGACTGAACGATATTTTTTCCATCTGTGAATTTTCTTTCTTAAATTAATTACAGTATATATGTTGGGGTATGGATAAGAATTGTCCTGCCTCTTCAGCTTCTTTAAGATTGAAACAGGATACCTTTTCCTTAAACTCACTTATTTTTGCTTGTTTTTCTATTCCTCTTTGAATACCCAGCACTTTGGTATTCAAATTTGTCACCTCAGAAAGCTGTGGTTCTGCTGAGACCCTCTGGTCCCCCGACAGCAGCAGGATATTGAAGGATTTGAGCTGTGATCTCCAAGCAGCCACAACCCCCTGCTCTAACCCCTTTCATTTCCACCCCAGATACGGCTCCTTCAGCCCTACATTTCCTCCAGGTAGGACTTGATTTCCGAAAGACCTGGTTTCTGACTGCTCAATCTCTTTCTTCAGTTTATTTTGCCCCAGCAAGGGGCTGCAAGGCCAGCACTGGCTTGTCCTTTCCCATGGGATGTCCTTTCCCAGCCCTCAGCTCCTGGGACCACTGCTGATGCGTAACCTGCCAGCTGTGGGGACAGGGATGTTATTCCGGTGGGGAAGACGGGAACCACAGCTTTGCTCTCCCGGACAATGACTGCTGTCTCCTTCAGTGCATTGTTCTGTGCTGGCAGGAACAAATTAAGGCTTGGTCTTTGCTCCAGGAAATTCCCCATCCTCCCTTGATGGGGTATCTGGCTACACCAAGAGCCTTTCTGCTCCCACAGCAGTGGATCTCAACACCCATGTACAGGACTGGTGTCCTGGGGTGGTTTTTTATTTTAGGGCTGACTTAGGAAGCTTGTCCATAGAAAATGAATAAGTAATTAAATAATTAATAATGAAATAATTTCCAGCTGGATAGCTGGAACACCTCCATGCTCTGGTCAGGGTTTGGAAAGTTGATGGGGTGATGGGACATCAATCTATGTCTTCCTTCATCCCTCTTAAAACTCTTCCTGAGCTTTGTGAAGCTATGGGCATTTGGCAACAGATGCTGGTGGTGACTCTGGACTTTCTCTTTTTGGTGTGTGTTTGCTGAGACAGCTTGGAGGAAAAAAACAGAGCAGGGAATCAAATAGAAAATCTGGATGTTTGGTGGAGGAGGGAAAGCTGGAGTGAAGGCAGCCTGGAAAACCATGGGGTGTTCCGTAGCCTGAGAGGGGAAAGGGGGGTGATAAGGTCTGGGACAGTGCCAGGAGAACAGGAGGAGGCAGAGACCGTGGAAAGCAGCTGGGAAGAAGCCTGCTTTGCGGGAGGAAATGTTATTATTAGTGCTCAGTTTCCTGAACAAAAGATTCTTGTCTATTTAAATACTTCAGCTTCACGGAGCTGCAGTTCTCCAGACACAATAAAATTTGCCTTTTCTCCCTGTCATTGTCATTTTCCGCTTGCTGCAGGTGGTTAAGGCTCCTGTGCTGTGGAGTAAATAATTTCAGTCTGCTGTGTGGGCTTGCTATGGTCTGGAAACAGAGAGGGCAAGCCCTGGGAACGAGAGGTTTGTCCCTTGTGTCCCCCTGCATCTGCTCTTGGAGATGCTGCTCTTCCACACCAGTGCAGATGCTGCTGGTTTAGAGACTAAGATCTATCAGATTTGAATAAAATTGACAAAAGAAAAAAAATTCATTAAAAAGTTAAACATCTAGATATAAATTCATCTTAAGAAACCTCCTAGGCCACTCTCAGTCTTCCTCAGCCAACTATGGCAGGTTTTATGCTCCAACAGCAAGAAGCAGAACCTCACTAATTCCCAATAATGTCAGCTAATGGCTAATTTGAATTATTCTTTCCATCCAGGGATGTGCAAAGAACAGACAGAGGTTGGAATTGCTGCTGTGTGAGAAAGAGGCCCAGGTTCTGTGCAAGGTGGTGCTGGAGCTATCCTTTGGTGAGTGAGGTGCTGCCATGGTCATGGTGTCTCCATGTGCTCTTCTCCGTGTGCTTCAGCAGGTCAGGCTGTTTTCTGCAGTTTTCCACAGAAATTCCAGATAATTTCATGTTATAGGGGAGAAATGCTTTTTCTATCTGTCTTGAAATGTTAAAATCTGATAGCAATAGTATGGAATTTACTTTGTAGGATCCTGACTTCTTTTTTTTTCCTATATCCAGGTAGCTTGAGTTTAATGTCAGATCTATCCCTATAGTGATAGAAATGGAACTTTTATTCCATAAAAAGATGGGAGATGTCTCACTGCTTACTTCCTGATTATAATTGTTCCTTGTTCCAAGACCTGCAAGACTTTGAAAAGTCAGCCTTCCTGAATGTATGACAAATATATTTATATGAGGGAATCATGGTATATCCTGAGTTGGAAGGGACCCACAAGGATCATTGTGTCCAACTCTTGGACTCGATATAAATATATATTTATATTGAAGTTACTACAAAAGTGCAGATGTATTTAGTGCAGTCTGACAGTGCTGCAGTGGGACTCGTGGCTGTCATGAAGGACACACAGGATGCACAGCTGCTAAACCACTAAAAGCACGTCCTGTCCATCTCAGTGGGGAGGGTTTCTGCATTGGGATTCTGGAAAACTGAATAATTCACTCGTGGTGAATGAATAAATGAAGGCAACCTACAGTCATGCCAGTTAGATATATTTTTTAATCAGAGAGTTTCGAAAGACGACAACAGTCATTCTTTGAACGCTGAGTATGTGGGGATGAGCCGTCAGTGTTTTATGGGCATGAATTTGGTTAGGTAATTTCTTTCAGGGTAGGTAAACCCCAGCTGTGTGTGGCCTTCAGCCTCATCAGTGAGGTGTCAGCCCTAGCAATTAATACTTCTATTTCACAGGAGCTTGCACAGTTCTGTGCCTGACTCGCTTCTCCAGCAGGCTCCATGCAGCACTGCCCCCAGCTCTGCAAAGCTCAGAGCACTGGTGCTGCTCCCCTTGCCCTGAGGGTCCTACTCCCAGCCAGGACTGATCTCTCTCCTGTGAGGATGAGTGAATGACTCTGCCTCCTTGTTCCAGCAGTCTCAACTTCGCCAGGAGGTAGGGAAGGAGTTACTTTTGACCATAGGAGTATGTTCTGTGAGCGCTGAGGTAACTCGGGGCAGACAGTAGCTGCTGTTGGAGCTGATGGCAGGGCTGGGAAGCAGAGGAGTGTTCAGGCTGTCAGCGGTTCCCTGCTTTCCCTCTGGCTGGGAGCACAGGAACTCAGTCTCTGGCCAAGGAACGCCACCCCCGGGTCCTTATCTCTCCGGAAAGTGCAGTGGTGAGATGTTCTGTGCAGCTTTGTAATTCTCCTGACACTCCTCAGACAGGGCTCTGGCACGCTCTGGTTTCCCTCCTGCTTCAGCTGAGCTTGCATGGCTGGAACTATGGGAATGTTGAGATGCCTGGGTGAGCTGCGCCTCTGTCCCTCAGCTGGGGAGGTGACAGCTGCCACGGCTGCCTGTCCTGGGGCAAGGACAGGCATTCAGGGACTCCTTCCAGGTTGTTTGACTGTGGATAAAAACAGACAGCAGGCTCAGTGTAGACAAGAACATGTCCAGTGGCAGGAGAAGTGGCCAGATGAGTGGGAGAACTCATGCCAGATCTTGCCCATGGTAGTAGGAGCCCAAGGAATAAAGGGATTTTGTTTGCCCTCCAGACTAGCTCTGCCTCTCACTGCTCTGGGGCAGCTGGTGGCCATGGGGACAGCAGTGGCTCCTGAGTGACTGCTAAGTGCGTGTTGGCCCTGGTGATGTGCTGAACTGCTTGAGCAAATCATCCTAAAATAGACTTCATATGTGATGCAGAAGAACCCAAGCAAAACACAAAGCCCAGCCAAACCCAAATTTATGCTTGTGGTTACCGAGCTTTAGAGATCAATTTTTTGTTTACTTAAAACTGATTTCAAAGAGGTTTTTTTTTTCTTTTAATTCTTATTCTTGATCACTGGGTTGGGGGATGGTCATGGCACTGCTTCAGCCGGGGCTGAACATCCTGCTGTCATCACAGAGATGCTCTGTCCCAAAATGCACAGAGTCAAGGTCCTGGTGAGATGGTGAGGTGGGGAAGCACAGGGCCTGCAGTCGCTGCTATATTGGCACATCCCACCAAAGAGATTCTCTTATTTTCGTGAAAACCTGGAAAAGTAGATCTCAGCAGGTTTTTTTTCTATTTCTAACTCCTGCAAAGATTAAAGCTATCAAGTGTTAAAAGCACTGGTTCGGTTAAAAAAAAGAAAAAGGGAAAAAAAAGCTGAGAAACAAAAAAAAACTCCAAAGCCCACAAAGCCTCTGTGGAGCTGGCAGAAGACAGAGCACAATAATAGCAGCACTGGCTGATTCCATCCTCCTGTGTCATCCCACATGTTGGGTTTATCCCAGTGGGACAGGAAAGCCTAGAAAGTCCAAACTGCCATATTTCAGGACAAACCGTATAGAAAATAAACACATGAGATAAATAAAACACTGCCAGGAAGTGATGAATTCATGGGACAGAGACCTGAGGTGATGCTGGTCGCAGTCGCCCGGCTCATGACACTGAGGACACTGCCCAGCCTGTCTGGGGCAGGGAAGCAAGGGAAACACACAGCTACTTTATTTTTTCAGGAATCCCTGGCTGTGTGGCCCCCATTTCGGCAGAGAATTCCTGCACCCTCAGAGTCTGAACTGGCTGAATCCCTGCGGGGTCAGAGCCAGCAGCTCTGTGGCTGGCCAGGACCCATCGTCCCTTTAGCAGTGATGCAGTGAGCGTGACCCCGTGCCAAGCCCAGATGGAGTTGTTCCCCAAGCAGATTCCTTCCTCCATGTCCTTTCATTTATTCTTTTCTTCTTCTTTTCAGCACTTACTTATTTGCAGATTTGTCAGCATGATGGGTGGCGTCCCAGTGGCAGTTTGTGTTGGCTTTCCAGGGCTGCTTGGGGTTCCTGTGCCGTGGGGGGACAACAACTGTGTGGGGATGGGGCCAGGCAGCACAAACTGTGAGGTGGGGGAGCCTGGGCTGGGGGTTCAGCGCTGGAAGCTTGAAGAAAGAAAATTGAATTCATGTTTGTGAATGGAAATGGCTTTGCAGGAAAAATCCTGGAGAGAATGGGGTGGCTGGTGGTGCTGCTGTCGCGTCATCTGTCCCTGCAGAACCTCACTGCTCCTGACCGGGGTTATTGTGCTGCCTAATTGCTTTTGGATGGTGTTCAGGCAGCAAAGTGGGGCAGCAGCAACTCTCCAGGCAGGTTTAACTCTTCTGTGGGGTGTAATTTCTGGTTGGTTACATGGGGAGGCGAGATGGGAGATAGGAGATGGGGTGGGCAGCAGTGGGGCTGGAGCCAAGGGGAGCAGGAGCTACAGCAACACTGTTCAGTAGGACCTTGGAGGTGGACAGGAGCTAAGTGAGCATTGAGTGCAACCAGAAAAAGGATTTTACTAAAAAGAAAGTGAGATGTGGAAGGACAAGAGATGTCTTCAAAGGGTTTGGAATAACGGGATGGAGCAGCTCCTGGCTGGGGGAGCAGGATGGTCCATGAAGCTGTGCCGTGCACACTGGGACCCATCCCATGGGCACAGAATAAATTAATGTGTCACAAGTATTATGAGGGAAGAAGGTTTGTTACAGAACCCCAGTCCAGAGCAGGCTGGGGGAGCGCAGGGCGTTTAAGAGCTGTGGGACCTCTCTTTGCTCCGTGGTGGAGACAGCGTTAATCGTTTGGGCTTAGCGGCGTGCGGCGGATGACGGGGAGGAACAGGAGGGCTGTTAAGCAGGAGGAAATGGTTTGCTGTCTAGATGGGCTTAACACAATATAAACTACATGGTGCACAAGGAAAGTTAAATCCTGAAGTGGTGAAGGAGCTGGAGTCACCCAGCACAGCAGTGCAGTTGTGAGTGGGGTGAGGGGTTTCCTCATGGTGGTGGTTGGAGCTAATGCTGAAGCACAGTGCCCATGTGCCTCTTCCTTCAGCCACAAAGGCATCTGCAATGATGACTGTGAGGCAGTTGTGTTGTTTTTCCCCTCCTGATACTTTGACACCATCCTTTTTTTTCCAGACTAAAATTTCAGAACCATCTAGAAAGGAGACTGGGAGCAGAGGTGATCCAAACCCAAGCTAGGGGCTTCGTGCTGGGTGCCACCAGGATCTGGCTCTGCCCAGCTCATCCAGGTGACATGTCCCTCCATCTCTCCTTCCCTCCGTCTTACCTGCCTCCACATGGCATATGGAGGAACCTGGATGGGGAAAACTCAAGTTGCCTGGGTGCATTTTCCCAGACTGTTGATGTGGGCAGACACTGTAAGGGCAGGGTCTGCCTTCCTTATAGATGCCCTTCACAAGCTCTTTCTTAGACAGGTTGTTTGGCTAGAAAAAACATAGGATTTTTTTGTGGTGGAGAAAACCTGTCCAGACTCTGAGAAAAATTGGTAAAACAGTATTTTAATTATAATTCATTATGCAGTGTCTTGTTCTGGAATTGCACCTTTGGCCTGGGTACATCTCGCCAAAGATGCTGTGGTAGTGCCCCAAGCCTTCATCTTGGTTCTCATTTAGCTTAGAAATGTAATTAAAGGAGGGTAAAAAAGGAAGCAACAGTTACTGACTCTTGAAAAGTGAAGGGTTTAGGCCAGACTCCTACTAGGAAAATAAACAGAATTTCATTTTCTTGTTTCAAGTTCTTCCCATATATTGAATTTCCATGCTCGGTGACAAGGGGGATCTGCCCGAGTGAGCAGCGATTGGATTCAGATGGCTTTGAGTTGCACTTGGATTTGCTTTGGAAAGCTTGACCTGTCCTTGGAGAGCAGGGTTTGGATCTGAGCTCGAGGCCTTGTTCTCTAAAGAGCACAGACCTTGCAGTCTGAGTTATCAAGCTGTAACTTTTCATGGCTGTGCCTGGAAATGGTTTTCCTGCCCAGTGTCCTGCCCAGCAGTGCTGTGACAGAACCTTTCCTTCCTGAATTAGGCCAGCGTT